AAGTCAAGGTAATAATGATTGCTGTTGACCACTCACTGCTTGCGAGGCAGGGCTGTGTGCCCTCTGGAGTCCCGTTCCCAGATTTGCAATTCTTAAGGAATATGCTTTCACTTTCACAAAATGTATTGTTTTGTAATTCTGTATTCTTTCTGTTTTCCTTTGTTCGGGCTTGATACCCAACTTTTATTTAAAAATCTAAAAACTCTTCTTCTCCTATAATGTTGGTTTTTGCGCAAACACCTCCACTGCCCGTATCAGATCTTTCATCAGAGTTGTAAACTATCTTGGAAGGCATTCAGTTGCCTGACTCAACAGTTTTGAGTCAACTTGATATAGATTATCTTGAGTCTTAGTTCTGTCTTCTCCAGGCCTGTTGTTGCTTTAAAATACACCAACTCCTTACTCTTCTGCCATTACAGTCTTGTAAAATGGAGGCAAGGGAAAAATGATTGAGGGAAAACATTGTATAATTTATGATTACAGTTATCCTTATATATATATTTTAAGCCTTAGGGTATCGGTAGTACTGAGTTAAATGGAATTTTTTTCTCCTTTAGTTTAAAGTTTACAGTGGTAAGCGATCCTATGGACGAGGAGAAGAAAGAATGTCAAGAAGTGGGATATGCGTTTCTGGAACCGTGGCAGATCATGGAGTCGGGAAGAGACCTTGTAGAGCAAGAGCTAGACAGTGAGTAATACCTTGTCATGCTTCTCAGCTTCAATTATTGCTAAGGAAATCAGCCTAATCATGAATACTTTTCCTGATTTGCCTTCGGTATGTAATTACCGTTATGAAGTGGATGATACAAACTGGATCCAAATCCCTATGGCTCTACTTTTTCTAGAAATGAAAGTAGTCACTTGTGTATTTTAGCCCATGTACCTCATGACAATTAGAATATAATCTATTAGGAATCCCCAGTGTTTGAAATGAGGGAATTTTGAAAAGACAAGTACAATTTCCATCAAATTTAAAGATCAGAATTCCTGATTTCTCTTAAGCATGTGAGGTTTGTAAAGACAGCTGATACCCTCCGCTTTTAATGTGTGACCTTGCACACTGTCTCTTAAGCAGACACCAACTCTCCTGCTACCTCATGCCTCATGGTATTTCTTACCAAGTCTTGACCATACGGCTTTGGAAATGTCTTGACTGCATCCCCACTACTGTAATAGTTTTCTGTTTTTAAAGTTTATGTAGTTTTGAGAGAGAGAGAGAGAGAGAGAGAGCACGAACACAAGCTGGGGGGGCGGGAAGCCCAGACAGAGGGAGACAGAGGAGAAGTGGGCTCCTTGCTGATAGCAGAATGTCCGATGTAGGGCTCGAACTCAAACCGTGAGATCATGACCTGAGCCAAAGCCGGACACTTAACTAAGTGAACCATCCAGGCGTCCCCGTAATAGTTTTCTAAACTGGTCTCTCTGCCACTGGTTTCTTCCACCCCATCTCCATCTGCTACAGCGTTTCTGTACAAAAAGTTTGTACAGAACTTCTCTGTACAACACATTCTTCTTAAATCCATTTTCAACATTGTTTGCTGTTAAGACTGGCACGGTTTTAAAAATATTTTCATTTGAATGCCTTTACGTGGGCCCTACTCCATCCAGTCCCCACTGCTCTCTTACTGTACATGCCTGGGGATTTCACGCATTTACCGTATCTGCTAGGCTGTAGTGGGCAATTAAGATCACGCACTAGACCAGTGGCTTTCAAATTTCCAGTCATAATCAACTAATGGGTGGTGATATTAAATAAGTCATGACCAGAATTGGGAGCAGGGAGACTGTAGAAAATATCAGAGTGCATGGCATATAGATTATTTTGTGACACTTTCCTACGTACATTATGTATTGAATCATGATCTAAAATTTATTAATTATAATAAAAAAATTGAGGAATACTCTTCAGACCAGGGGTTACGAAGTTCAAACTATCTGGTAGACAAGATTCTTCATTATATTCCTCTAGTACCTTTCCAACTGAGGTACCGGGCAAGTGGTGTGACCTGTCTATGCCTGTGTCCTCAACTATAAGATGAGAATAGCAGTCGCGTCCTTATAGGGATGTCACGAGGATGGAGGGAATTCTCTGAGGGTCGAGGGAGAAGGAAGGGTCGAGGGAGAAGAATGTTCGGGACAGCAGAAGCTCGCTGGGCACATGGCGAGTGGGGTCTTTCAGCCGTTTTCCAACTTGGACCTCTGAGTTCTATTCCCGTCCCCATTCCCTGACATGCAGCGCTCTTCCTGACTTCTCTGCCCTTTGCATGTAAGGAAAATCCCCCTGGTCGTGACCTCAGAATTTCTAAAGCCAATGAATGTCTCTCGATTATTTTGACAGAAAAATTTACATTAATTTCCTTGTTATGGCTTCCCTTCCACTCAGGCTTTAATCCTGTTGGTCTGATTTTAAAAACAAAACATTGCTCCCCAACCCTGCAGCTCCCTTCCCTCTGAGCACGTTAAAACTCGGCTCTGTGCAAATTTGCCTGCGTGGTAAGTCAGTGCAGTGCTGTTTTGGCACCTCCTGCACTGTTCAATTAAGGTCAAGTTTTCATCCACTTAATTGACTCTGTTCTTACAATTTTCCGATTGTCAAATCCAGTTGGTTTCCTTATTCATCCTGCTTGACCTTTGTAAATTTCTATTATTATTGCTCATTCTCCTTTTTAAACTCCATTCTCCCTTGTTTTAGGCCGTTTCAACTTTCCGTATCATTCTGTGGGGGATCCTTCTGTTTCTTTACAGCTTCTTCCTGGGTTTGAATGTTGGGATTCTCCTGGTTCAATCTGTGGCCTTTTCTCCACACACCCTCCCCCTGGGGGTTTGCATTCACTCCTGGGGTTTTAATAATCTAAAAATGATCTCAAATCTAGATTACCAGTCTAGATTTTATTTAAAATCTAGTAGACCCAAGTCACTACTTCTCTGTTCTCATAGTACCCAAAATTTGCCTCGACTACAACTTTGTACCTTGCATTCCTTCTTACCTACCATCCAGTTACCCAAGTTAGAATGGTCATCCTGGATTTGGACCTACTCCTGTCTCCCAGGATTTCATCACAAAATTTTATTTTTTACTTTTTTTTTTTTTTTTTAATTTAGTTTGATATAGGGGTGCCCAGGTGGCTCAATCAGTTAAGTGTCCGACTTCAGCTCAGGTCATGATCTCGTGGCTCGTGAGTTCGAGCCCCACCCTGGGTTCTGCACTGACAGCTCAGAGCCTGGAGCCTGCTTGGGATTCTGTCTCCCTGGCTTGTGCTCTAAGAATAAACAAACATTAAAAACAATTAAATTGTTTTGAGAGTGAGCACACACAAGAGAGCATGAGTGGGGGAGAGGCAGAGAGAATCCCAAGCAGGCTCCACACCATCAGCACAGAGCCTGACACAGGGCTTGAATCCACAAACCATGAGATCATGACCTGAGCTGAAATCAAGAGTTGGACACTTCACTGAGCCACCCAGGAGCCCCTATTTTTAGCTCTTAAACATTCTGAATCTGCCCTTCTCTCTCCACCCTGTTATACTTCAGACCCCTTCATTTCTCTCCTGTATTGCTACAGCAGCCTCATAACTAGCCTCCCTGATACACTCATGCTCCCAGTTATAGTCTCCAAATAACGGTGAGAACTAGAACTCAAAAATCACTACGTCTAGGACACTTCAGTTAAAATCACATTCCTCACAAGACAGGCCTTTATGGTTGGGACCCTGCTTATCTACGCGGCTTTGCTCCTGCCACTTCTCGCACCTTTCTGAACTCGTGTTCTCGTGTCTTGGCCCGCGCTCGGAAGAGCTTACTTTCTAGATTCAGTTCAGGGATCGTCTCCAGACCACCTCTTCTACTTCCTCCACGCCGGCCAGGGTGGGTGCCGCTTCCGTGCGTCCCCAAAGCACCTTGAGTTTTCATCGCAGCCCCTCTCACCCCCACCCTGTACTGTGCTGGGAGGGCCTCACCCTCCTTCCCTTCCACTAGGTCGAGCCCCAAGGAGGAACTTTAGTGCTGCCGCCGCCTGCCACGGCACACTGCAGGTATGTAAGTGCTTTTTGACTGAATGATGCTGCTGCCTGACAGGCTTCCTTTTCTTTTCCCAACAGTTGTCAGCCCTGAAGATCAGGCCACCCGGATAGGAAGGCTGACGGTGTCCCTTAAAGCTGCCGCCGCCCTCGACGCCATTTACAAGGAGATGACAGAAGTTACACTTTCGTGATGGAGCAAGTACTATTCCGTTCTAAACTCTCTGAGGGAACCGCAGTAAAAAGTCTCTTATAAAGTAACTTGCTATGCCGTGAATTTGGTTTACTGTGATGTCTGGTCTTTCTACCTAATGACGAAAGCTTAGAACCAAGTTACTTTTTGTGACCCTCACTGGATAAAGGCATTATTCTCCAAGGTCTTAGCGCTCTCACGGGTGAGAAGAGGACCTGCCCTCAGGAACTGCGAAAGGACGGTCACAAAAGGTGACTTTACAAAAACAAAACAACAACAAAAAAAACCACAGTTTATTTATCTTTTAGTTCTTCCAAAATTGAAAATATCAAGTCCTACTGCTAAGGAGAAAAAAAACAAACAAACAAAATCTGAGACCCCTCCCCCCCTCTTCTCTTAAGGTCACAGAACACAGGAGGAACTGCAGCGGGACAGGTGGGTACAGAGAACCGGGAGGGGGAGGGTGGCAAGATAAACTCCCCAAATACTTAAAAAGCTGTTCGACAGAAACTGTGATAAATACAGGACAATGCAAGACAAGTAAAAATAAGGAGCAGCAGTGACGAGAGGCTGTGTTGTAGACGTGGCCTCCCTTCCTCTTCTCTTTTCTCATCAGGGTATTCTAGGCCCAAGGCATGACCTGCCCCTTCCAGATCTAAATGTTGATTCCTCTGAGCCTCCTCCTAGATTTCACTAGAAGCAGTGTTGTGAGGCACGACCATTCTTCCTCAGACACATCAGAAAAGGACCAGTGGTGACTCTGCTTCTACCATTGTACCCTGTGTGAATTTGTAAGGAGGATGAAACCGAGCCAGGGGGTGTCCCTGCTTCTTGTCTTCAAAGGCGGCAGAAACACCTCTATCGGCACGAGGCAAACAGGCAGGAAAACTCAGGCGGAGGTACCGGCCCGATCTGCCCTCACTAGCTCAAGTTGTATGGTTTATCACAACTATCAGCAAATTCCAAGAACCTTTTCTTGAGCACTGCAAAGATGGAACTTAAAAGAGATGTGAGGAAGGTCATGGCAGTGGGGCAGGATGGAGGACTGAATCTGCTGGTCAAGAACCATGGTACAGGTAGTTAGGGGTCACCTCGTACCAATGTCTTGGAAACATAGCTTTGAGACATCAAAGAGTAAGATGTCAGAAGCCATCGATGTCCTGGCGGAAGGTGACAGGAAGAGAGAGGAATGAAACGGTATTTATCAACAGCGGAAGCCTCTGCCCTTCTTCAAGAACACCTCCCTTGCCATCTGGATGGGGCCACTGGCACGTGTCCTGGTGGGCCTGGAATTCCCCGAGTAGATTGGTCCACACAAATGGCCCCCTAAACCCATAAACACAAATGGCAAAACTTCAAAAGGAAAAAAAAAAAAAAAAAAAGGAAAAATACAGTTTCTATGTCATGTAAAATTTGTAGGGGTTGGCTGGATAAAGAATGGAGCTGAGGACCAGAGTTCAGAAGTTACTTCCTCTTTTTCTTGGGGGGTGCAGAGCTGTGTCTGGAACCACGGTTAGAGCCACGGCCTGAGCTGTGCACAGATGCCTTCCTCTTCCGGCTCATACTTCGACTCTGTTCTTCTTCTTCCTCGTAACGACTTTCACGGTCCGCTGAACAGGAGAAAAGAGGCATTACTAGTTCGCTACAGGGTAACTTTGGTACCTAACAGTACTTAATAGCATGAAGTAACACAGGGAATGTCCTCTGGAGTCAAGTATGTTTTAATCTCAGTCATGTATTAGTTGTGTGATCTCAGGCAAGTACTTAACTTTCCTGAGCCTTGGTTTATGTTATTTACACAACAGAAAATGGTTCTAGGATTAAATAAGGTAGCCTATGCAAAGTACGGATCCCGATGCTTGGGGTCCAGTAGATAGTGTTCCCCTTTCACCTTTAACTGCTATCTAGCATTTGGTTTCAGAGTAACTAAACAACTATTACAAAAACCTTCCTAACCTGGAAGAGGCCCAGAAAGTTTGACTATTATAGGACTTAGACTTGGAAACTGAATAGCCTAATTCTTCCAAGACTATGTGGCTATCATAGCTACAGACCCACTGTGGCTGTGAGCAGATGAAGAATGACAGAGTCACGTCACTTGGAGGGTATGGACACATTCTAGAACTCATTTGCTTGTCTGGCTGATGAACTTGGAGCTATAGTTCCCCATCAGTTTCACAGTGTTCTTTTGGTACTCTTCTTAGGCCAAAAAAATCTCAAAATACTAAAATCCATTAGAAATTTGTGCTTCAAAAATAACAAAGTTTACCTTTTCGGGCTTCTTCCTCCAGTTCATCCCAATCCTTTCCACTCTCTTCTTCACTGCCCAATGATTCCTTGGAATAGTCTGGAATAAAATTAAGTCATTAATTAGTCATTAGATAGGAATGGAACGACAATTCTTCCCTCCTTTATGGGGTCCAGAAATGATAGATTAGAAAGCCATGAAACATTTTCCCTATAGAGACTAACCTGATTCTTCAGCTTCTGATGAATAATCTTCATCACTATCCTCCTCCTCCTCTTCATAGTCGTCTTCCGAAGGATTGAAAGTCTCATCTTCAATTTCAGACTCTGAATCCCCTTCCTCAGCATCACTCCCCTGGTGAGTTACAGTTGGAGAGCATAATACTATTTACTCGGTTCTTTTTTTGACCTTCACTTTATTAACCTAATTAATTCAACCCACCTAGCACCCCAGCATTATTTCCGTATTACATTAAAAAAAAACCCAAAAAACCTGAGTGACCAAAAGATAAATAGGACTAATTTATAATTACCAGTAAGGTGCGATTACTAAATATCTAGTTTGTATTTCTTAAAAATTCACTTCATCCTTCCTCACCCAGGAAAATTAACCAGAGATACTCACGGAAATAATGCATTATGCAGAGGTGGGAGAATCATTTTTTAGAAAACAATTTTTGCAAAATGCCCTAAACTTACACCTGAAACTATTATTACAATGTATGTTAATTATACTTCAGTCAAAAAAAACCAAGAACTTAAAATGCCCTAAAGAATTTTTTCCCAATACTGAGTCTCCTTAAAAGAACAATTTTGCAATTTCAAAGAGATCTCAGTGGCTACCAGTCTCCAATTAATTTATCAGCTACCTGTAAAACTAACTAGGAGAACAGCACAGTAATACTAAGCTCCCATTTGATCTGGTCCCGTACGTACTACTTCTGTAGCATTTCCTAGAAGCCTGATGGTAATGGGCAACACTATGTACCGGAAAAGAAACCCCACACTCACGCACCTCACCCTCAGGTTCTAGGAAAGACCAGCCACCTTGTTCGAAGAAGCCCTCAGGGTCATCAACAATGGTCTTCATGATTTTAGTCCAGTTGAGAGACTGTACTCCTTCTGTGTACTTTAGGTCACAGGAACTAAGAGACAGGACATGAGTCAAAGTCAATCCTCCGTATTTTCTGAGAATGCACTGTGTCCTCTTGCTCATTAGTATCTCTGAAGAGCAGACATTCTCTGTATTGGGCCACCAGAATAGACCCAAATGGCTGATATGTCTCCCAGAGACCAGCCCTCACGACAGAGCAGCATTCCAACCGAAGCAAGCTTTGTCCCTCCACAAAGGTCAGCCTCTCCAGTTTTCCATTTTCTTTCTTAAGCACCAATTTCCCTGTTCCTCCTTTTGGCCTTTCCTCCTCACCTATGCTTTCCCCTGATTCCACCCTTATTTGCAAGTAGTCTCAACTTATAACCACTTCTGCACTTCTTACTTTTCAGCTCTGATCGCACATATGATTGCAGTTAAGAAAAGGCAGCTGGCCCTAGCTTTCCCTCCTCAATCTTCCACTGCTTTCTTATGTATTGTTCATTTGATGCAAGGTATATTCAAAGGTAGGAGTAAGTTTCTTGTTTAGTACCTAAAGTGCTAAGAAAATGTGCAAGTAACTTTCTTTCTTTTTTTAAATGTTTGAGAAAGAGCAGGGGAGAGGCAGTGAGAGAGAGACAGAATCTGAAGCAGGCTCCAGGCTCTGAGCTGTCAGTGCAGAGCCCAACACAGACACTGAACTGATGAAGGGTGAGATCGTGACCTGAGCCAAAGTTAGATGCTTAACTGACTGAGCCACCCCTCAAATGACTTTCTTTTTGTCCACTTCTGTTGAGGAAAGCTCAATCAATTCAAGTGGGTGGGAAGGAAGAGAGAAATGAAAAAAACCAAAACCAAAAAACCCCAAAAAGAAATGACAATAGTGAGCATCACTAGAAGAAAGCCTCACAAAACCTGAGAACCACTGCCACAAATCCATTATAGGCCTCATCATATACACTGTAACTTGCACATCTGGCCATGATGGACGGAGTAACAAGAACTAGATTTACCTTTCCAATTTAAATTACTAGAAAACCAAACAAAATATAAAACAGCTTTCAAACACTGGATAAAAAGAAACATAGGACTGGGGCACGTGGGTGGCTCAGTTGGTTAAGCATCCGACTTTGGCTCAGATCATGATCTTGCGCTTTGTGAGTTCAAGCCTTGAAGTGGGCTCTGTGCTGACGGCTCAGAGCCTGGGGCCTGCTTGAGATTCTGTGTCTCCTCCTCTCTCTGTCCCTCCCCCATTTGTGATCTGTTTCTGTCTCTTAAAAATAAATCTTTAAAAAAAAAAAAAAAAAAAAAAAAAGCAGCATAGGACTACAGTCCCCAAAAGGAGGAAACACACAGGGTTTTGTTTTATAACTGCCCTAGTTTTCTGCCTGGAGGCAGTTCCCAGGCTGCTATGTAGGGAGGGGAACCCAATCAGACCCTGAGAGAAAGAGAAGTATTTGGGGATGCTGATACAGCTAGAATTTTTGAAGCTGAGAGTACTGGAGAAGAGAATGACAGAAAAAGCTCTGAAGATTTGCAGAGGGATCCCTTTCAGTCTGTGGCCAAGAACTGATTTGCACATACATGAGAGGAAATTAACCGGAGCTCAGCAAAGAAGCACTGGAAAGCAGTTGGCAACACAATTCCCAGATCTCATACCAAACTGGAAATAGTTCCTGGTCCTACCAGCTTTAACAGAAAGACCTTAAAACACACAGGGAATCAGAGTGCTTAGAAGAGTACTGCCTCAGCGGTGGGCAGATTAGTCCTAGACTAAAAGCTATTCTGAACCAGCACTAATGACATTTGAGAACAAGTCCTGAAAGATGAAGTGGTATCCAACTCACTTAACTATATCATCGAATGAAGTCTAGAAAAAAATCATAAAGCCTAGCACCCAGTGTGCCTGGGTGGCTCTGTTGGTTAAGTGTCTGACTCTTGATTTTGCTCAGGTCATGATCTCCTGGTCGTGAGGTGGAGCCTCATGCTGGGCTCTGCACTGTGTGTGGAGCCTGTTTGGGATTCACTCACTCTCTCTCAAAATGAATAATTAAAAAAAAAAAAAAAATTGGGGTACCTGGATGGCTCAGTCGGCTGAGTGTCTGACTCTTGGTTTTGGCTCAGGTCACGATCTCATGGTTTGTGGGTTTGAGCCCTGCACCAGACCCTGCACTGACAGCACAAAACCTGCTTGGGACTCTCTTCTGCCCCTCCCCTGCTCGTGCACGCTCTCTCAAAATAAATAAATAAATACATTTGAAAGTAAAAATAAAACCTAGCACCCCAAAATGTGTAGTCACAATGTTTGGCAGCCGATCACAAATTACCAGACATGCAAAAGGGCTGAAGAAAAAAATCAAACAATAGAAATAAACCCAGAAAATACAAAGACGGTAGATGGAAGTATCAGATAATGACATTAAAAAAAAGCTATTATAAACATGCTCCAAATGTTTAAGGAAGACAAACTTGAAGATGCTGAAAAGTGAAGATATGAAATTTGTGTAATTAGTCTCAGAAAACAAAACAAAACAAAAACAAAAACGGGGGTGGGTGGGGGGGATGGGGATTGAGGAAAGAGCAAAAATATTTGAAGAATAATGGCCAGAACATTTGGGGATGTGATGATCTAAGAAGCCCAACGCACACCAAACAGAATAATCATTAAAAAAACAAAACCACCCACAATAAAGCAGATAATAAAATGCTAGAAACCGATGACAGAAATACAAAACAAAAACGTCAGTCTGTTCAGAGGCACAAAGATGACAGCAGACACTCAGTAAGCCAGAAAACAATGGAGCAACATCATGTAAGTATTAAAAAAAGACAATTCTATCTACAGTCAGGAAAAACATCTTTCTGAAGTGAAAGGGAAATAAAGACTTAAGAAAAAAGCTGGGAGAATTTGTCACCAGAAAGCCTGCATCTCAAATGCTAAAGGAGGAGGTTTATGAGGCAAAGGAAAATTAAAGGAGTTAGAAGGCTGGAACCACACCATGGAATGAAGAGCACCAGGAATGAACATATGTGAGCAAATATCCAAGACTTTTGTTCTCATTTTGTAAATTAAGAGGTAACTGCCTGGGGGCACCTGGCTGAGTTGGAAGGGCATGTGACTCTTGATGATCTCAGGGTCCTGAGGTGGAGCCCCATACTGGGTGTAGAGATTACCAAACAAACCAACCAACCCATCATAAACTTAATACACAATCATACAATTAATCCAAGGGTGCCTGGGTGGCTCAGTCGGTTTAGCATCTGACTTTGGCTCAGGTCATGATTTCACAGTTCCTGAGTTCGACCCCGCGTCGGGCTCTGTGCTGACAGCTCAGGGCCTGGAGCCTGTTTCGGATTCTGTGTCTCCCTCTTTCTCTGCCCCTTCCCCCCTCCTTGAGCTCTCTCTCTCAAAAATTAAAATAAGTCCAAAATAAGGCATAAAAAGGAGAAAAGCAACGGAGAACATAGAGGAAAACAAATAGCAAGATGGTAGATTTAAACCCAACCATATTGATAGTTAGCATTAAATGCAAAACGGTCTGTTTTCACCAATCCAAAGTAAAAATTCTCAAAACAGATTTAAAAAAGTGAGACCCAAATATATATTGTCTTCAGGTAAGGCGCTTTAAACATAAAGTAAGTTAAGAACAGAAAAAAAGACATGTTATGTAAGCACTAACCAAAATAAAGCTCAAAGTCCGTAAGAATATCGTACCAAGCTGATTTTTGAAACAAGGACTATTATCAGGTATAAGGAAGGACATTTCATAATGATGAAAAAAAAAATCAATAGAATTAAACCACTAGGCAGACTGACCAACAAAAAGAGGAAACAAATTATCACTATCAGGAATAAAAGGAGACACCATTATAAACTGTATGAATATGAAAGTTGATAACTTAGATTAAAAAGACCAGTTTGCTGACAGACACAAGAAGATTCTAACCTTTATGTAGAATAGCCAATTCTGAAAAGGAACAAAATCAGAAGACTTACACTACATGATTTTAAGACTTACTTTCTATAAAGCTACAATAATTGTTTCAGCGATATAAGGACACACATAGGCCAATGCAACAGAATAGCATCCAAAACTACACCCTCTCCAAATGGTTGATGGCTTTTTTTTTTTTTTTAAACAAGATGCCAGGATAATTCAGTAACTATGGGGTAATCTCTTCACAAATGATACTAGAGTAATTGGCTATATTTGGGCAAAATACGAATCTTGACCCTTATGCTACAGTAAAAAATTAACTCAAAATGGATCACAGACCTAAATGTAAGAACTAAATCTATAAAACTCTAGAAGAAATCAGAAAATTTTTATGATTTCGGGTTAGTCAATTTATTAAACAAGATCTAAAAAGCACAAATTACAAAAGAAAAAAATAGATCAGACTTCATGAGAATTTTACACTTCTAGTCTTTAAGACACTTGAAAAGGCATAGAATCTACTGCAAGAAAACATATGCAAAACCTATATTTGATGAAGGATTTATAACCAGTCTAAAGAATTCTGACAACTCAGACAAACAATCTGCTTTTTAACATGGACAAAAATATGAAGAGACTTCCTCTAGGATACAGAATGACACATAAGCTCAACATCATCAGTCATCATGGAAATGCAAACTGAAGTCACAATGAAGACAGCACTCCACAGCTACTATAATGGCCAACATTAAAAAGAGACAAGGGGAGCCTGGATGGTTCAGTCAGTTGAGAAAACAACTCTTGATTTCGGCTCAGGTCAAGATCCCACAATTGTGAGATCAAACCCCGCATCGGGCACTGAGCTGGGTGTGGAGCCTGCTTACAATTCTCTCTCTCTTAAGCCCTCTGCCCCTTCCTCATGTATGCACTCTGAAAAAAGTAAAAAAAATAAAAAGACCGACAAAGCCAAGTGTTAAAATGCACAGCCAATTACAATTCTCAGGTACTGCAGGTTTTCCAGAAAATGATTTGATAGTTTCTTACAAGGTTAAACGTAGAGACTTTACCACAAACCATGCGACCCAGCAGTGCCACACTTAGGTCATCTACTGAAGAAATGAAAACTTAACGTTTACACAAAGACCTGTATGTAAGGTTTATAGCAGCTATTCCCAAGAACCCCCAAGTGGAAACAATTAACATTTCTATTAAAGTAAATGAAGTATGGAATATCCATGCATTGGAACACTCCTCAGTAACAGAAAATACACTACTGATGCACTCAACAACTTGGATAAATTTCAAAAGCATTATGCTAAGTGAAAGATGCAAGGTACCAAGATACTTCTGATTCCATTTACATGAAATTCTAGAAGACACAAACCACATAATGATAGAAACCAGGGATAGGATTACAGGGAGGGGACCGACTTACATAAAAGTGTATGAAGAACTTTTAGGAGTGAAGAAGTGTTCTACATCCTGATTATGATGGTAGATTCGCGACTGTACACATTTATTAGAACTCATCAGACCATATACTTAAATTGGTGAATTTTATTACACGTAAGTTTTGCCTTAATAAAACTGATTTTTAAAAAAAATACATTAAGAAATGGGCAGAAGACATAGACACTTTTCCAAAGATGACATCCAGATGGCCAAAAGACACATGAAAAGATGCTCAACATCACTCATCAAGGAAATACAAATCAAAATCATGATGAGATACCACCTCACATCTGTCTGAATGGCGAAACTTAACAACACAGGAAACAGATGTTGGTGAGGATGCAGAGAAAGGAGAACCCTCTTACACTGTTGGTGGGAATGCAAACTGGTGCAGCCAGTCTGGAGAACACAATGGAGGTTCCTCAGAAAGTTAAAAATAGAAGTACCCTACAATCCAACAATTACACTATTAGGTATTTACTCAAAGGCTACAAGAATAAGATTCAAATGCGTACGTGCACCCAGACGTTTACAACAGCATTATCAACAACAGCCAAACTATGGAGAGAGCCCAAACGTCCACTGACTGATGAATGAATCAAGATGCCTATGTGTACACACACACACACACACACACACACACACACACACACACACACTGGAATATCACTCAGCCATCAAAAAGGATGAAATCTTGCCATTTTGCAACGACATGGATAGAGCTAGAGTGTACTATGTTAAGCAAAGTAAGTCAGAGAAAGACAAATACCATGTAATTTCACTCATGTAGAGTTTAAGAAACAAAACAGATGAACAAATGGAGGAGGGAAACAATCCATAAAAGACTCTTAGAGAACAAACAGAGGGTTGATGGAGGGAGGTGAGTAAGGGATGGGCTAGATGGGTGATGGGCTCTAAGGAGGGCACTTGATGGGATGAGCACTGGGTGTTGAATGTAAGTGATGAATCACTGAATTCTGACACCAATACTGCACTGTATGTTAATTAACTAGAAATTAAATAAAAATTTGAAAAGAATAAAAAAAAGTCACCTTTACAACACATATTTGGGATATTGTTATCACCTACCTGCCTATGTCTTAAGAAAATCCTCAGGAAAACCATAAATTTGTATCTTTCTCACAATTTATTTCTAAGTTCTCTCAACCCACCTCTTAAGAGGAGAGTCACATCTCAGCACTTCTCCTTCACTGGTAATAGGCAGGGGTGTGTGGAGCGCAGAGCAAATTATACTCACCACTACCCAAGCTTCACCCTTTACCTAGAGTATAACATCTCTCTGTTTACTGGAGTTTTGGTACTCCTGTGAGAAATTCTTTTATAGCTGACGTAAAAGGCTAAAATTCAAGAACTTTTATCTTAAGGGGCATCTGAGTGGCTCAGCTGGTTAAGCATTCGACTCTTGGTTTCGGCTCAGGTCTGTTTCATGAGTTCGAGCCCTGCGTCAGGCTCTATGCTGGCAGTGCGGAGCTTGCTGGGGATTCTCTCTCTCTACCCTTCCCCTATTCGCACTGTCTCTCTCTCAAATAAATAAATAAATAAATAAACTTAAAAAATAAACTGAAAAAATTATCTTTCAGTAAAAGTAAAAGAACTAGTAAGAGATATCCCCTTTTTATAACTAACTGATTATACATGTATTCAGATTTTTATACACCTATCAAGAAGAGTCAAAGATGACTTTTTTTTGATTTTGTATGTGTAAATATTCATCAACTACTGTTGGAATTTCAGGAAGAAGTTAATCTCTATCTAACAGATGCCAAATTTCTAAGTCCTGGGCTATAACTCCCCAACGGCAGTTTCTCCCTTAAGTCCACCAGCAGATTTTATATACAACATACCATGCTTGTATTCTGTAATCGAGGGATCAAGGGGTAAATGGGAGAGTGCTGGCAGACTGACTTACTTCAGCCACTCCTTGATGGGGTCTAGGGAGGCTACCGGAATGGCGTTGATCATCGTCACTTTCTTGCTGTAGTCCTTGTAGACTATCACCATATCAAAGTTCTTCAGGTGAAACTGAACCCGCTCGAAGTGAATCAGCTCCACTTCATCCAAGGTCACCACAAAAGGTGGCTGTCAGGGAGAAATGAGATCACTATCACATAAGTCCCCTAAAGCACGAGCATTTTCAAATACTTTCAGGGCCTAAAAATCACTACTGCTTTTCGGGAAGACTAAAAGCAATGCAATGTATTGACAAGTCTCAGTATAAGGATTTGCAAGATCAAAATCTTTCCTCAAGGAGAATAAATTTAAAGAAACTGAAGAAACTATTTAAAAAACGACTTAAAGAATCATTTGTTCAGTAAGTCGTGTCTAAGAAAATCTTCAGAAATAGTAAAGACCTAGTTTTCAAAACACCTACCCTTTCTTTTCTCTAACAATTTTCTTACTAAAAGGGAAGAAATACTCACCCACTCTGTAGCGTTTACAAGCGCACTACTAGTGGGCTGAAGGAGGCAGGTACTCCTGTAAGGAGCTCCATTAAATCTGAAAGAGAGTAAGAGAAAGGCTCACTCAAGAGAAACGTGCTGCCAAAATACACTTCTTGCTTTTCCCCATTCCAAACCCAGCTCCAGCATACTCACTGGAGTCATTTACAGGGGAAGCCTCTCAGTCTGAGCCACTCACCCCAGCCTAAAAATGTTCAAGAGGGAATGGATGTCTCAAAGGTTTTTCAATCAAAGGAAAAAGGACGCGATCTGTGATGTTAAATTATCACAAAGGAAGAATGACCAATTTTTCTAATAGGCAGATGACACTTCAGGTCAAAAAGCAGAGATATGTTACCCCAAGTCCCTAAAAGGCACTTCGAATTCCAGTTCCTCCTTAGTCAGAGCCTCTACTTTCTCAATGAAATTTTTAAACGCTGTTTTCAGTTTATGCCTCATTTCTCGTTCCATCTGTAGAAGGAAAAAAAAACTAATTAGCTACAGTTATCACTTCACTCGTACATCCATTCAAAAAGCCTGAAGTACTTTTGTGGTCCTTAATTCTCATTCCTGTGACGCCAGTACGAAGAGTTTAACCCAGCCCACTACACCATTAACTGCAGAGCTGAGTCTGCAACTCAAGTCTGCCCCATAAGCCACTGCACTATACCATCCCCGTGCATACTTGAGTTGTTCGGCAGAAAGATGCGGGGGTTATTTACAAAATATAACTACTGAACTCAGATCTGAACCACAAGCTACCTCAATACCCTGCAAATAAAATCCTCAATCTCACAGACCTGCTCAGCATAGAGGTCATCTCGGTCGTGCATATGCTGATGTTTCCCCAAGTCCGTGGTGATCTCTCCCACTTCTGTGTAGAATTGCACATCCGTGTGCCGCTTCTTCCCGAACATGATGGCATTCTGGGGGCACGGAGTGGAAAAAACGAGAAAGCAGTCAGAAAACTCAGGCTACACAACAAAGAGGCAAGACCACAACAAAACAACGTGAAGTATAAATAGTATCTACCCTGGAAACCACAGCATCTATGTAAAAATAGTCAAACTGTCCCTGGTGTCGTCATGACATTTGGGAATGTGAGAGCGTACACATTTTTTAAAGTATTCCTATTTATTAGAATGAACTTGGGAGATTTTGCCGAAAATAAACTGTCTAAAGAAACATTTTTCTATTTCAGAGACAGGAATCTAGAGAAAACCTTAGGTTTTGGTGGTTATTATATAGCACACCAAAGGAACATACATGCTTATTAGCACCTTCTAGATTTTAGACACTGTGGACTTTATAAACATTATCTTATTCAACCCCCTTTACCTTTTCTGATAGGTGATATCATTCATCATTTATTAATTTAAAGTTTATATATTTTAAGAGAGAGTGTGTGCACGTGCACAACAGGGAGAGGGACAGACAGGGAGAGAGCGCATCCCGAGCAGGCTAACCGTGAGATCATGATCTGATCCGAAATCAAGAGTTGGATGCTTAATCAACTGAGCCACCCAGGTGTCCCTATTCGTCACTATTTTAAAAGAAAAAGAGTAACAGAAAGATCTTGCCCAAGATCTGACAGCTTGTAAATCAAAAAGCGTACCTTGAGGTGAAAGTGCAAGACAATAATCATTTCTCCATCACATGGCTGAAACAAAGCATGCTTGATGTTATTATACAGAATATCCACTTTGTCTCCTCGAACAGATGTGAAGCGGAAACCTGGGGGAAAACAAAGGAAGCAGCTAAGCATCAAGCAGCATGAGGTGAGGCCAGAAGACATTGCGTCTTTTCTGGCTGATTGGAACCGAGTCACAGAAAATGCCGCAAACCACACAGAGCTTCTTTCCCTTCCTTGTGCCTGTACAGCAATATATATAGATTCTTTCCAGCAGCTCCCTCACATACGGATTATCCATCTGTCATTCCTACAAATGTGCCCCAGAGACAAAGCCCAGACACACGAGAGATCATTCATACCGTTGACGTGGGCCTCCAGGGAACCCTGCATCCTCTTCTGGGCAATGTTTGGGCGAATGTATAGATCTTTCAGTTTGGGATTGCTCCGGTTTAGATTGATCACTAGGGAGTCTTGTTTCACAATGCCCTAAGTAGAACGAGAATTACTGTGAATCCTCATGTAACTGTGTGTCCCCTCCAAACCCACACATATCCTTTTGCACAATGGTGCTCTGTTGGTGTCCAGGCTCACCTCCTTCTCCTTCTCTTCTGCTTCCCGGGTCTTATAACGCTTCTGTACTTCTTTTATAATTCGGAAAGCATTCTGGAGGTTCAAGGCTGGTACAGTCTGTTCTCCAGGTGCCTTCATATTTGAAGCTCGGTATGTGCTGTGAAAAAGGAGAAGCCAGAACTTACAGAAGTATCTTTATCAGGTCAGGTAACCTGCACTCTTCACTGTATTTTTAACGGACTTAAATGTCTTTCAGAAGATAAAGATACCAGTAAATGGTAAGACACTGTCTGGAAAGCTGAAAAATATCCCTCTTTCTTCTTCTCTTAAATAGAGCATGTTATAAATGGCTAATCCACTGGGTGGGAAATCACACTTATTTTTCAAATCTGGCATAGCCAATTATCCCATTCCACACCATGAAGGAACGGACTCCAATGAGGCACACATTTCCTTATTTATGATTCTACTGCAAAACATGTGTCATCAGTTTAACATATATTCATGAGGATTCTAAACTGGGCTCCATCGTCAAAACCGTACAAAGCACAATGAGATGTTCCTGAGAGTACCACTCCAACCAGCAGGGATGGGGAATGGTTGTTTTCCCGGGGACTCACATTTCCTTGACAAAAGTGGCTTCTGGGTTAGGAAAGATGTTGCCCTCATTCCTGCCAAGAGCACTGCCTGGGCAATAGAAGTTGATTCGCAAGTAAGTATAATCTCCTTCCACGGACATGCTTATATTCTGCTCAAAGAAAAGGAAAGCATTAACAAAATAAACAAGTTTCTTTCCAAAGTAAAGGTTAGTACTTAGAGACATTAAAATTAAGTTAGGAGTTACGAGCTGACTGCTAAACCTAGCCTATAAACCTTCACCTAGGTCTAATTTTTTTTTACCTTCACCTAGCTTATTTTTTTTGTATGACAAGATGTGTGCTTCCAAATGAATCACTGGCTTCTCAGAGTACCCTGAACCACATGTCCAAAAACATGCTAAAAAATGTTTAATGCGGGGGGCGGGGTGGGGGTGCTTGGGTGGCTCAGTCAGTTGAGCGTCCGACTCTTGATTTTGCCTCAGGTCATGATTCCAGGGTGGTGGGATTGAGCCCCAAGTCAGGCTCCACGCTCAGCATAGAGCCTGCTATGGATTCATTCTCTCTCCAACCCTCCCCCAACTCATGCTCTCTCCCTATAAAAAAAAGTAAAACAAAATAAGGCAAATGCTTAATGCAAATTATATTTCTAGACTAGGAGATCACTGAACATTCTAACCAAGTGCAAAATGGAAAAGAAGGAGAACAATAGCAGGAGACAAGGAGAGGGGGAGTCAGCAAAGTGAGAAGGGTGGAGAATGAGCAGAGGGTAGAGGAATCGGAAAAACAATCTATGGAAGCACAACTCATAGTTTCAGAACCAATCTGGATGGATCCTGACTCAATGCTCATACCTTGATTGTGGCAATGTGAAAAGGTGTCGCGATACCGAACACAGGCATTATCACGGTCTCGTACTTCTTGTCGATATAGATCTTCATTTCCCGAATATGTGGTTCCTTAGGCATCAAAGATGGGTTTTTATAGGACACGTTAGATTTGCGAGCTCTGGAGTGGGGATAAAAACGTTTTTTGAGGAATTTCTATAAATCAAATACAAACCTAAGACAACCTCGTTGCCCAACACAAACTCTTACTTTTGAATCTGTTGCTCTCCTTTCTGTTCAGTCAGTCGCCTCTTTGCTTCTTCGTTGAGTTGAGCTGCCAGTTCCTTTTGATGCGCTCTCCGCTTCTCTTCTGCGGTCATCTCGTTCTAGAGGACACACCCAAGTCAGCAGAACTGCCAGTCTTACAGACGTGCCCCAGACGGGAGCCAGAGGACAGAGAGAGAGTCAATGTGGATTAAAACAACAAACTCACTCGTGTTCTTTCAGTAAGCAGTGCTGCCCGAGAACCTCTTCCCAACAGGTCCTCGGCCTCATCTTTCTCCTCCTCCTCCTCCTCTTCATCCTCATTCTATGGGGGAAAAATGAGAATCAGCAATTCCAGTTTTAACCTTTTTAGCCAGTTATTACTTTAGCCTTTTCATGGTACCAAACTTCCTACACCACTTGCTTTTCTTCTTCCTACCTTTAGAAAAATCCCCACATTCTTCACTTTTTTCTTCACAGAAGTGAGGACAGTAGCTGGGCCATCCTGGAATAAAAGAAAGAAGTCAGAGACATTTACAAGAGCATTTAAATAAAGCACTTTCACTTTCTAGCCTCGTATACAGTTGGCCAATGCTTCGAAACTTGTGGATACTAAAATCTCTGACAACGCATACAGATTTTATCCTCCCAACCTCAAAGGAACTATAATTTAGGAGGCAACACTGGGATAATGATTATGAATACAGGCTTGATGTGAAACCTCCCTCAATCACTTTCTTGTTTTGTTTTTCTTAATGTTTATTTTCTTCTTTATTTTTTTTTTTACGTTCAATATATGAAGTTTATTGTCAAATTGGTTTCCATACAACACCCAGTGCTCATCCCAAAAGGTACCCTCCTCAATACCCATCACCCACCCTCCCCTCCCTCCCATCCCCCATCAACCCTCAGTTTGTTCTCAGTTTTTAAGAGTCTCTTATGCTTTGGCTCTCTCCCACTCTAACCTCTTTTTTTTTTTTCTTCCTTCCCTTGTTTTGTTTTTTTAAAAAAAAGTTTTATTTGAGAAAGAGAGTGCAAGTGCACCCGAGTAGGGAAAGGGCAGAGAGAAAGGGGGAGAGAGAATCCCAAGCAGACTCCGTACTGTCAGTGCAGAGCCCGACATGGGGCTCGATCCCACAAACTGGGAGATCATGACTTGAGCCGAAATAAGAGATGCTCACTGAGCCACCCAGGCGCCCTTTGCCTCAATCACTTTCTAGTGGTGATATGTGGCAACTTCTACTTCTGTGCCCCAGTTTATCTGAGGATAAAGTATCTACTTCACAGGGTATCATAATTCAGTGAATTAATGCATAAAAGTGCATTAATAATAAGAACTCAGAAGTATTTGCTACTAGGGTACACGGTTTCTTTCTGAGGTGATAAAAATGTTCTAAAATTAGACTGTGGTGCTGATTGCTGAGAATATACTAAAAATCACTAAATTAAACACTTTCACCAGGTGAACTGCATGGTATGTAAACTGTAACTCAATAAAGCTGTTAAAAAAACTTAAAAAAAGAATCAGTTCCCAATATTATCATTCTCCAGGTTCAAGTCGCAAGTTGAACTGTGTGGTTTAAATTATTCTCTGTATTTGTGGCGCACCTGGGTGGCTCAGTCGGTTAAGCGTTCGACTTCGGCTCAGGTCATGATCTCACAGTTTGTGGGTTTGAGCCCCATGTCAGGCTCTCTGCTGACAGCTCGGAGCCTGGAGCCTGCTTGTGATTCTGTGTCTCCCTCTCTCTCTGCCCCTCCCCTGCTCACACTCTGTCTCTCAAAAGTAAATAAATGTAAAAAACAACAACAACAAAAAAGGAGGGTGCCTGGGTGGCTCGGTCGATTAAGTGTCTGACTTTGGGCTCAGGTCATGATCTTGCGGTCTATGAGTTTGTGCCCTGTGTCAGGCTCTGTGCTGACAGCTCAGAGCCTGGAGCCTGCTTTGCATTCTGTGTCTTCCTCTCTCTCTGCCCCTCCCCCACTCATGCTGTCTCTGTCAAAAATAAACATTAAAAAAATTTTTTAATAAATTATTCTCTGTATTTGGATGACAATCTCTATTCCTAGCTGTATTGGGTCACTGTCACATGGACCTCTCCCTTCAGCTAGCATTTAACACTTAAAATAAAAAAAAAAAAAGTTTGAGAGAGCGCACACCCAAGCGTGTGGGGGAGGGGCAGAGACAGAGACAACCCCAAGCAGACTCTGTGCTATCAGCACAGAGACCACTGAGGGGCACAATCCCACGAACTGTGAGATCAGGACCTGAGCCAAAATCAAGCATCGGACGCTTAACTGACCCAGGTGCCCCTAACAAACACCTTTAAGAAAAAAACTCCAAAGAATATAAAATGTATTTTCAATGTTAGTTCATAAACAATCAAAGGTCAAAGAAGAATACACACCTCATCCACAAGCACTGTGTCACCAATGAACAGAGCATAGGTTTTCTCTTCTGGTTTCTTCCCTTCCTTGTTAGTAAGGTCTGAGAATCCCAAATTGATGCTGAAAACCATCCCTAAAACAGCAAACAGGAATCAGTCTATAACCGTGAGAGAATGGAGAAATGTAGATTTTACACAGAAAATGGGGAAGATGGAGCTAAAGGAAATTATTCAAAAAAGTATTTTCCTACTGCACACCTGTAAAACTCACCTTTCTTTAGTTTGTACTGATTTTTACTATTAATTACTAAAGAGCCTTCACGGAATTCAATTCCCATTCCAAACCTAAAAAGGAAATGAAGAGAAATTTCAGCAATAGGCTAAAAGATCTCTAACATGGGTCAAGTACAATATATTCTATTTCAATTTTCAGGATAAGGCAGATAAGTATGTTGAGTGATTGGCCCTGCTGATCAGTCAGTTAAGGAAGAGGATTTGAGGACAGTCTTTGGACTAATAATATGTTGAAACAGATTTCCTAATTAAGTACCTCGTGTAACATTTATTATACCAAGCCTTCTTTATTTTAGCTTATACACCATATTTAAATTTCAATATTCTACCAGTTTTCCTATAAACAACTTAGTAGACTGTTAAGGGGAATATTACCAAGACCATAGTAAGTGGATTAAGCACAGCAATTAATAAAAATTAAAAACCTTTTTTTATATTTAGGAGTTAGAAAGTGAGCACAAGTGGAGAGGCAAAGAGGGGGGAGGGTGGGAGAAAGAGAAAGAGGGAGAAGAGAATCTTAAAACATGGTTCTACACTCAGCACAGAGCCAGATGTGGAACTTGATCCCACGACCCTGGGATCACAACCTGAGCCGAAATCGAGAATCGGCTTGACTAAGCCACTCAGGTGCCCCAAGCAAGGTGATTTTTTGTGGACTAGGTAACTAGGTAACCTAGTTGGTAACTAGGATTAAGTCACCTGGGCCAAGACTTGGTACAGGCCAATGTATTTCCTCTTGTCCATCAGAAAATTCCAGAAAGAAACTATATATCCCAGACTAGTTTCCATCTAAGGAAACTGCCCAGAGCCTTTGTCTTCCAAAATGTCTTTGGTTCTATAAGATGTTGAGTATTTCTAGGTGATGAATGGTCAAATACATTGGAGAAATACTGGATTAAATAAAAATTGAAAAAAAAATTAATTGTAGGATATCTCAAGAGTATTTCATTTGCAAATGTGAGCTGAAGTATTCTAAAAGAGGACATACAGTAAGTAACGGCTCCTAACACTAGTAATTTAAGCCTAGAGGGTCTATTGGCATCTACTACATTGGTCTGCAAAAATCTCCACCTCTTCCCAGGAAGTAGAAATGAAATCTTTCCCACATTCTCTGATAACACTATGTGTTTGGACCGTAAGTTTAAGAGTCCATAAATGTTGGGTGAATTGATCTAAGAATATTTTGCCTGACCACGGCCAGTCATGAAAACTATCTCAGAGTGACAATGAACTTCATCACATCTCACCCTAGATTTTTGGTAATTTTGTTCAGCAACTCTGGCTTCTGCTTTTTAACCACATCCATGACAGCATTATACACGTCACATATCTTCACACCTAATGACAAGACAGAAAGGAAACATTATAATATCTTTTAGGTGGAGAAAAACCCCAAAAAACAAAAATGACCACAAGTTAAAAAAAATGTTTTCTTTAATGTCTTTATCTTTGAGAGAGAGAGAGAGAAAGAGAGTGCACAAGAGCAAGCAGGGGAGGGGCAGTGAGAGAGGGAGACACGGAATCCGAAGCAGACTCCAGGCTCTGAGCTGTCAGCACAGAGCCCGACGCAGGGCTTGAACTCACAAACTGTGAGATCGTGACCCGAGCCAGAGTCAGACGCTTAACCGACTGAGTCACCCAGGTGCCCCTATGACCACTACGTTTCCATCAACATTTTTTTCACCTATTAAGTTCCCTAAAGCAGAGTTTCTCAAAGTGTGAACTAAGAAATGAAGCTGCAGGAGTGGTAGGGCTTAGAATTCTGCATTTTTAAATAAAAAACTCACCTAGTCACTCTTAGTTACACTGTTTGAGAATCAATGACACAGGAGGACTATGGGATGCCAGGTCTCAGTGAAGTAATTTGAGTTGATAAATGGCGTAATAATTCAAGTTATCATACATTTTGAAAAATAGGACTACTGAATGAGTGAATTACTATTACAAAGACTCCGGCCTTGAGGGAGACAAACCATAAGAGACTCTTAAATACAGAGAATAAACTGAGGTTTGCTGGAGGAGAGCTGGGTGGGGAATGGGCTAAATAGGCATTAAGGAGGGCACCTGTTGGGATGAGCACTGGGTGTTACACGTAAGTGATAAATCTCTCAATTCTATTCCTGAAATTGTTATTACGCTGTACGTTAACTTGAATTTAAATTAAAAAAATAAACTTTTTAAAAATTAAAAAAAAGGGGCACCTGGGTGGCCGAGTTGATTAAATGTCTGACTGCAGCTCACATCATGATCTCATGGTTCGTGAGTTCAAGCCCCATGTCAGGCTCTGTGCTGACAGCTCAGAGCCTGGAGCCTGCTTCTGATTCTGTGTTTCCATCTCTCTCTGCCCCTCCCCTACCCACGCTCTGTGTCTCTCTCAAAAATAAACATTAAAAAATTTTTTTGAAAAAAAATTAAAAAAAAAAAAAAAAAAAAGGAGGATTCTGGCCTTAACGTTTCATGATCTATAGTATGAACACAGTCTTCAAGCCAGAAGAGTCTAGATATGGTGGACTCAAAGGGGTCCTTATCCTCATCAAACTACCTGGGACTATTACTTCCAATAGGATTTCTCAAGATCGACTTGAGGTAACATGGAGGAATTGTATCTAGAAGCTATGGGCACATGGGTGGGCTTATAGAGTAGAAAACTTGAGGTCCCATTTCACCAACTAGGAGTGTAGAGTCTCAAGACAAAAGAGGTGTGGTGTCAAGCACTTTGTTTCCTTCCGAGGTATGCAATTGCTTGCTTAGCAGAGTTGCTATTAGTTTTGCCCTTAGACTAAGATTCCTTATATCCATTCAATGTAGAATTAACAATACACATTCTGTTGCTAGAGATACTAGTTCTCAGAACCAAAGAAAAGTAACAAGGCCAGATATTTTATGAAGATTTGGATGCAGAGGCCTAACTGGCCACAGAAGTTTTCTGCAAACACCAATGTAAAACCACAACAACCACTCATGCTAAAAGACTGAAGAGTGAAATGCTAGGGTGATTCAAAGCTAGTAAAATCGAATTCTATTTTTAGTATAAACGCCTCAGGGATATAAATGCACATGAACACTAGAGACACTTTAGTTTACTTCATTTCCGAATCTTTTCTAAGGCACCTCACCATGTCTTAATTCCTTTAGCAGTTCCTCTTGAAGCTGGAGCAAAAAGTTGTAATTTTCTTGAACTTCCTGAGAAGGGTCAACCATCAAAGTGCGAACAAGGTTGGAGCAGTAAGATTTGAAGCGAATACCCATGGCACAAGTGATGGCCCCAAAATGCATGTGATTCTTGTCACTAGAGACCAAAAGAAGAAAGCATTTCATTATGCAAACTAGCCAAGTCCTTAGTAGCACTGGCATAAAACATCTATAATCACCTTTCCCTGTTATATCCCATAGCTGAAGAAGGACCTACACTCTTTTTAAAAAACAGATTAGCTTATAAAGAGGTAAAATTACTGACTGAAGCTCACAGGATAAAAATTCAGTGAGAAGCTTACTTGTGGTTGCCTAAATAGACAAAAAAATATACCAAATTCTATTCATTATAGTTTTAAAGCTCAAGGGTAAGCCATCACTTTTCCACCAGCCACTATGAACTGTACTATGCATTATGAATTAGTTCCTTCAGCCTGACCAGGAAAAACAGCATTCTTCATAAATTTTTAAAAATTACAGGCACCTGGGTGGCTCAGCTGGATCAGGGCCAACTTTGGCTCAGGTCATGATCTCATAGTTCATAGAATCGAGCCTCGCTCTGAGCTCTGTGCTGACAGCTAAGAGCCTGGAGCCTGCTTGGGATTCTCTGACTCTGTCTCTCTCTCTGACCCTTCCCTGCTCTCACACATGCATGTGCTCACTCGCTCTCTCATAACTAACTAAACTAACTAACTAACTAACTAACTAACTAACTAACTAACACGTTTTCCTTTCATTCAAAGAAAAAACTCAGAAGGGGAATTACATTATGGCATATCTCATAATACCTTAATGGTTTTTCTCAACATGTTTTACATTTTTCTTGATATTTAAAACAATTTTTTTAAACATTTATTTATTTTTGAAAGAGCATGAATGGGGGTGGGGGAGCAGAGTGAGAGGGAGATACAGAATCTGAAGCAGGCTCCAGGCTCTGAGCTGTCAGGACGGAGCCCAACGTGGGGCTCGAACACATGAACTGTGAGCTCATGACCTGAGCTGAAGTCAGACGCTTAACCGACTGAGCCACCCAGGTGGCCCTCTTGGTATTTTTAATCATCTGGAAAAGCAAAATGAAATAAATGCTCAAGTAAAAGGGAGTACCAACATGAAATAAGATAAAAATATGCAGGGGTGCCTGGCTGGCTCAGTTGGTGGAGTGTCTGAATCTTGATCTCTCAGCTGTGAGTTTGAGCTCCATGTAGGGTATAGAGACTAAACTTTTCTGAATTCCAAAATGAGTCCAAGAAAAAAACAGGCCGAAAGCTGAAATGCTCTGATTGTTATAATCTGAAGTTCTCATACTTACCTCACCACACTGAACTTGAGATTATAGTTGCCACCACTCTGAATGATAGGAGGGTAACACATCTCCACAGTAGAAGGGTCTGCCCCAGCAAGGTATTTTTTCTCTTCAATGGCCTTTTCCACAGACTCAGCCAGTTTGCTGTGTCGAACTTTCTATAAGCATAAAGAAATAAAATAGTTAACAATATTCACCAGAGGGTGGCAAAGAGTCTAAAAGTGTTGAATTTTTGGACATTATTTGAGGACAACACATGTCCTGACATCACTGAGGATGTTATATAAGCCTTATGAAATGGCTTATGTGTCAGGTAATATACTGGTATACCTGCAAAGCAGATTTTGAGAATACTGTGAAATTCACAGCTATGCAAGGAATTCTCAAGTAAAATACTGGATAACATCAGGAAACTAGCGCAGGTTTATAGTTATTTTGAAAGAGAACTGGCAAAATTACACACCAGCAACTTCTGTATCAAAGGCCTAATTGCAAAGGAAGCCAAACAGCAAAAAACACTGCACAGTAGGGACTTACTTGTGCTTCATTAAAATAGTACAGACTTTCCCCTCTCCATTTACCTCATCTGCATCAACTATTTCCATGACTCTTTCCTTGAAGAATTTGTTGAAGACCTCAGAAGTGATGCTAGCTGCTTTCTTCATTAGGTTGAGCTCCCCATCCTCCTTTACAGCAATGGTATAAGCCACAACCGCACTGATATCTATCTGCAGTCAAAGTGATAAGAATTTCTAACAGGTAAATACAGAACTGCTAAATAAATGCATCTCTCCCAGTGTGAGTATCATCAGTGAAGTTACCTGGTTATTTAGCACACCATTCATCAGTAGTTTACGGAATATAAAAATACTCTTTTCTTGGATTGAATAAACATTTAAAATAGCTCATTACCAGGTCACTGTGTGTATTCTAAAAGGCATTGAACTAATATACCATTTAAATGTAAATGTAAATGCTCCTCTCTAGAGGATCTTATAAAGGCAGAAGAGGAAGACAGGCAGGAGAGCAGGGAGGGGAAAAAAATGTATTTTTTCTGGATAAGAGATTTTTCTGGGGGCACCTGGGTGGCTCAGTCAGTTAAGAGTCTGACTCTTGATTGCGGCTCAGGTCATGATCTTGTGGTTTGTGAGCTTAAGCCCTGCATGAGGCTCTGTAAGGAAAGTGAGGAGCCTGCTTGGGATTCTCTCTCCCTCTCCCCTGCTTGTGCCTCAATGCTCTCCCAAAATAAATATTTAACAAAAAAAAAAAAAAAAAAAAAGAGAGAGAGAGAGAGAGAGAGAGAGAGAGAGAGGTTTCTGTTTCCGTTTCCCCCTGCAAGGGCTAAACTATCTTCCAAATGGGCCATTCCTGACTGGAAAGTCAAAATGGCTTACTGCTCACCCAAACAGAATGGAAAATGGAAATCTGAAGGAATATATACTTTTCCCAAAACATATTCTTTGCACTATCTGTTATGGAAAGCTGTCACACTTCTATCTTCGCAACTCCTAATCTGCATGTTTCTGGGAGTGTTCTCACTTTGTCAAAGCCCTCTTTGTTGAGGCAGTCGTTCCAGTTCTTCATGAACTCTCCAGGGAACTTGTCTTTGCTGAACACTCCAATCTTCTTGCCGTTCTTGCTTTCTTTAATGGCTTCAATCATTTTGTCAAAGCTGCTCTTATTGCTTTCATTCTATCAGTGCCACAAAGAAAAGACTCTTGTTAATTAGTTTTAGAATTAGATATCTATGTTCTACTAGTAACAGGCACAGACAAATATTTGGAACCATAGAAAGAATAAATTTTTCTCCCCATGCCTCACCTACTTACTCCCTTATGAAAGAATGTGACACTAAAAGTTAACACAAAATTTCTTTGGATATTTTTACAAACTAAAGTGCCACATGAGTTGACAAGACTATTCTTTTTCTTCAGGAACAGCTAAAACACTCATGCACATAGGGGAACAACATTCTGAGAAAAAGTGTCAGGTGGAAAGTACGACAAAAAAGACCACATATGATAAACACTGAGTATGAGGTATATCTGTTTTCTTAAGGATGTTTAAAATTATTTTTGTTCTAGGGGTGCCCAGCTGGGAGAGCCTGCAACTCTTGATCTCAGGCTTGTGAGCTCCAGCCCCATGTTAGGAGAGGACTTAAAACAAAAAACCCCCAGTTGTTTATGCCAATTGAAGTACTAAGATGAAAACAAACAAGTTGACATTACCCTTGAGAATGGACAGATAAAGTCCATGTTTGACAGAATCTCACAGCCTGTGTGTTTTGCTATAGAACCGACAGGGTTACTGAACTTTTTTCTTCCTAACAAACACAACGAAGATGTGCTAAAACTTTGTAATTACAATGTTAGCCAGCAAAAATCTTCTCCTGTATATTTTTAAATTCCTAGAGGGATTTCCACTTATTACTTTTAAACATTCTTTCACATTTATGACACATTCTTTACTAGTTCTGACCTTTTCCCGTATCAGCAGTGTGATGGCAGGGGCTCCATTTGCATTCTCATTGCCCTTAGTGTTAGCAATCTGTTTTAAAAACTCCACTTTCTTCTTGCTGGCCATAAAGATAATTTTGTCATCACAGAAGACCATGATAGTATCAGTCAGTTCATAACCAAAGAGCCACGTCTATAGGAAAAGACAAAAGTAACAACAATATTTACAAATTAAAAAAAATTAATGTACTTACTCAGAAGTATTTATATAATAAGGTATCTGGAATTAACTTCAAAATAAGCTAGATGTGGATACAAATGAAATGAAACTGGCCAAGAGCTTACAATTTATTGGATAATGGGTACATATTGGATAATGGGTACATTAGAGTATCACATTATTATCTACTTTGATGTTTGAAATATTCTATAATAAAGACCACCAAATCACACGGATAATTTGTGTTTCTATGAACTATACGGTTATTTAGTAGAACAGAAACGCATAAAACAAGGAACAAAGTAGCACATCAGGGAAATGCACATTCTACCTCCCCCAAAGACTGCTAGCTGCCTACCAATTATTCACTTCTTCCCTCTCAGAAAGACTTGGGATTGTTAGCTGGGCACACTCAGCATGAAGACTACTTCCTATCCTTTCTTGCAGCTTATGGCCATTAAATTCTGGCCAATAAGTTATAAATAGAAGTATTCTGTGGGACTTCCAGTATCTTCACAAAGGGAAAGATGTCTTCATTTTCTTCCCTTTCTCCATTCTTTCCACTTGGAATGCAGATGTAATGGCTGGAGCTCTAGCAATTTCTGCACCATGAGCCCAAGGGCTGGCCTCTACGTATGGCAGAAGACAGACCAGAAAAACCCTGTGTCCCTGAAGACTAACTAAAAGAGAAAAAACCATTCTACTTAATCCACTGTTAGATTTTATTGTTATATACGATTAAATCTATCCCAATTTATATACTTCTTTTTTGGGGCTGTCCGCCAAACCTTTTTTTATGTTTCTTTAGTTGAAGTATGGTTGTTTCTTTCTTTCTTTTTAAATAAGGATGTGTTTATGTTTTAAAATTTTTTCTTTCTTGTTTTGTGTGTGTGTGGGGGGGGTCCACTGAGCTTTTAATGATGATGGAAATATTCTCTACCAGCTCCAATATGGTACTTAGTACTTGAGACTTGGGACTGAAGAATTTAATTTTTAATGTGGCTAGTGAATACCACACTGAACAGTGCAATCGATGATTCGAGGATTCTCAGGCCTAAAACTGCCATAAACCTCTCACCTGTAAGGCAGTCGATTTGGCATAAACAATTTCTTCATCAACACCCACTGATACAACAATGGCATCAACGTTGGCATATTCATCTTCTCCTTTCTGAAAAGTAAAGAGTAGGTAATTTGGTCATCTTTATATCCTAGTAAAACTGGAATACAAAGTTCAGTATTTACTCAGGGTATAGAATTTTTTCCTAATAGTAATGCCAAGTTTGCTTGGCAGCCTCACAGTCATTACTCTTTGTTAAACAGCTTTATTGAGAGAGAACTTACATACAATTCAATGGCTTTTAGTGTGTTCAGAGTTCTGCAACCATCACAATCTAACTTTAGAACATTTTCCTCTTTCCCAAAAGATGGCCTACATCTCCACCTAGGTCTAGGCAACTGTTAACCTAACTGGTCTGTACGGATTTGTCTATTCTGGACATTTAATATAAATGGAATAACATATGTGGCCTCTGCATCTGGCTTCTTTCACTTAACATGCTTTCAAGGTTCACCTATGTTGTAGCATGTGTCAGTATTTTGTCCTTTCTGTGACTAACAACCCACTGTATGGATCTACTACTGTATCTATTCATCAACTGCTGGACATCTGGCTTATTGCCATATTTTGGCTATTGTGAATAATGGTGCTATGAAGATTCATGTCAGTTTTTGTGTGGACATACTTCTCTTGAGTACATACCTAGGTGAAGAATTACTAGGTCATATATATGGTAACTCTGTGTTTAACTTTTTGAGGAGCCAGACTGTTTTCCAGAGTGACCGCACCATTTCATATTCTCAAACAGCAATTTATCAGGATGCCAAATTCTCCATATCTTGACTAACACATATTGATTGGCTTTTTTTTATTAGAGCCATTGTCCACTGCATGTGAAGTAGTATCTCACTGTAGTTTTGATCTGCATTTCTCTGACAGCTAATGATGCTGAGCACCTTTTCATGTGATTATGGACCATTTGTCTACCTTCTTTGGAGAAGCACCTATTCACATCCTTTGCCCATTGTGTAACTGAATTACTGTTTTATTATTCAGTTATAAGAGCTCCTTTTATATTCCAGATATGTCTCTTATCAGATATGACTTACAAATTTTCTCCATTCAGTGGCTTTTCACTTTCCTAATGATGTTGTCCTTTCACATATGATAGTTTTTAATTCTGAAGGAGTCCAAATTATTTTCTTGTGCTTTTGAGGTCATATCTAAGAAGGCTTTGTCTAATCCAAGGACATAAAAGATTTACCTGTATTTCTATAGCAGTTTTATAGTTTTAGCTCTGATATTTAGATCTAGGATTCATTTTGAGTTAATTTTTGTGTATGGTGCAGGGAAGAGGCCTAACTTCATTTTTTTGCATATGGTTACCTCATTGTTGAAAAGACTATTCTTGGGGTGCCTGGGTGGCGCAGTCGGTTAAGCGTCCGACTTCAGCCAGGTCACGATCTCGCGGTCCGTGAGTTTGAGCCCCGGGTCAGGCTCTGGGCTGATGGCTCAGAGCCTGAAGCCTGCTTCAGATTCTGTGTCTCCCTCTCTCTCTGCCCCTCCCCCGTTCATGCTCTGTCTCTCTCTGTCCCAAAAATAAATAAACGTTGAAAAAAAAAAAAAGAAAAGACTATTCTTTCCCCCACTGAACTGTCCCAGTCAAAAAATCAAATTATGTATTAGGGGAAAAAAAATCAAATTATGTATTAGAAAAAAAGTCAAATGACAAATGTGAGGGTTTATTTTTGGATTCTCAATTCTATTCCGTTATCTAAGCATCCATCTTGTACCAATATCATGTCGTTTTGATTACTCCAGCTTTATCTTAAGTTTTGAAATTGAGAAGTGTGAGTCCTGCAACCACTCCATCAGCTACTCTTCAATGGTTCCGTAAGACCAAAAGACTGGAAATTGTGGGCTAGAAGGTCAAATCTCTAACTTCCCCTATAAAGTCAAGAAAAACATCTACATCAGACTCTTCCACACAACAAAGCTTCTGGTTGCCAGTAAGATTCCAAATATAGTACAACAATTAAGGGTTCTGTTGAATTTCTCTACCACAAAAAAATGCATAACCCGAAGAAATTACCACATAGAAACTGTATGCATTCCCCCACTGATTTTCAGGAAGAAAATGTTTTCCTTCAGGTTGGGAAGGTTTATCATTAGTTCTCACTGATAATGCGAAAGCAATGGTAGTTAAAACAGCTAGTGCCTTCAGGTCCCTGGGTGGCTCAGTCGGTTAAGTGTCTGACTTTGGCTCAGATCATGATCTCATGGTTCATGGGTTTGAGTCCTGCGCTGGGCTCTGTCCTGACAGCTCAGAGCCTGGAGCCTGCCAAGGATTCTAATATATATATTTTTAATATTTGTTTTTGAGAGAGACAGAGAGACAGAGAGAGAGAGAGAGAGAGAGAGAGAGAGGGAGAGAGAGAAAGAACAAGCAGGGGGAGGGGCAAAGAGAGAGGGAGACACAGAATCTAAAGGAGGCCCCAGGCTATGAGCTTCCAGCACAGAGCCCGACACAGGGCTTGAACCCACCAACTGTGAGATCATGACCTAAGCTAAAGTCCAGCACTGAACCAACTGAGCCACCCAGGCGCCCCTTCCGATTCTGTGTCTCCCTCTCTGTCTGCACTATCTCTCAAAAATAAATAAAAACATTAAAAAATATTAAAAAGAAATTAAACAACAACAAAAACAGCTAGTGCCTTAGCACAAATCAAGGTAATTGGCACCAAAGTAATTCATTACCACATACTCGTGGAAGGGGGGGCTATTTCTCTAACACTGTCCTTGATGCAATAAAAATGATCAACAGTAAGTAATCCCAACACTCTAGCATGTCTTTTTAATATTTTGTATAAAGAAACGCGAAGTACACACAAACCACTTCTGTGTGCAAACTGAAATATGATGGTTATCTTAAGGAAAACTTTACAATTATTCGAATAACAAGTTGAAGTAGCCATTTAAGCAGACTTGGGTAACAGGCATACATTTTCTTGAAAATGAGTGAAGTGAGCCTGTCACTTCAAGGAAAATGAAAATGTATTATGTAGTCAATGATAAAATTTGAGTTTATCACCTTTGTGATGGGCAGTGGAAAACTAGGCATTTTATAGGAATTAAAATCCTTGGAATAGTTGAGTTTGCTTCCCCATCTGCATAAAAAAGCTGAGTATGTGGGCCTTTTTTTCTGTCTCCCTATTTTCAGTTTTATTGAGATCCCTTTGGATAAATTTCCCATATCATTAATGACTAAGTTACATGATTACACTGTGTATACTTTTTAAAAATGTATTACTATGTATTCTGAATTTTTATACATGTTGATATCTTTTTCTTTGTTGAAAGGTTTTGACAGGAGCAAGATTTCAAATATCAAAAAATACTAAAAGAGGCTTTTTGATTAATTTCAGTGGTTTTTACAGACAGATGTATGGGCATGGAAATTACACTTATCTGTAGCTAGAACACATAAGCATTAAACATAGGCAGTTTCCTGTTCCTAATTTTGGGAGGTTATCAAGGTAGCGGCAATATTATTGCCACAAAATCCATGTTTAATGAAGAACTAGAGCATATGTAGCAAAAATTGGGAGAGGAGAGAATGTTTAATACCAAAATTAGTGTTAATGTGTGATGTCATCGGAATCATATAGCTCAGCTGTTCTCAGACTGATAGCAGGCCCTTTTACATTCTTAAATCATTCAAGACCCTAAAGAGCCTTTCTTGGCATTGGTTGTATCAAGGTTCCCCTTCCCCTCCCCCATGGTCTTGTGTTAAGTTTCTCAGGACCCACATATGAGTGAAAACATACGGTATCTGTCATTCTCTGCCTGACTTATTTCACTTAGCATAACACTCTCCAGTTCCATCCACATTGCTGCAAATGGCCAGATTTCATTCTTTCTCATTGGCAAGTAGTATTCCATTGTATATATAAACCACATCTTCTTTATCCATTCGTCAGTTGATGGACATTTAGGCTCTTTCCATAATTTGGCTATTGTTGAAAAGTGCTGCTATAAACATTGAGGTACATGTGCCCTTATGCATCATCACTCCTGTATCCTTTGGGTAAATTCCTAACAGTGCTATTGCTGGGTCACAGGTTAGATCTATTTTTAATATTTGAGTTTTCAAGCAAAGATCAGAGCCTGTTGGGCTCTGTGCTGACAGCTCAGAGCCTGGAGCCTGCTTTGGATTCTGTGTCTCCCTCTCTCTCCGTTCCTCCCCTGCTCTCTCTCTCTCTCAAAAAGAAATAAAGATGGGGCACCTGGGTGGTGCAGTCGGTTAAGCGTCTGACTTCAGCCAGGTCACGATCTCGCGGTCTGTGAGTTCGAGCCCCGCGTCAGGCTCTGGGCTGATGGCTCAGAGCCTGGAGCCTGTTTCCGATTCTGTGTCTCCCTCTCTCTCTGCCCCTCCCCCGTTCATGCTCTGTCTCTCTCTGTCCCAAAAATAAATAAACGTTGAAAAAAAATTTTTTTTAAAGAAATAAAGATTAAAAAAAAAAAATTTTTTTTTTAAACACAAGGGTGCCTGGGTGGCTCAGTCAGTTAAGTGTCTGATTCTTGATTTTGGCTCAGGTCATGACCTCACAATTCGTGGGTTCAAGCCCAAAGATGGGCTCTGTGCTGACACTGTGGAGCCTGCTTGGGATTCTCTCTCTCCCTCTCTCAAAATAAATAAATAAGCATTAAAAACAAACAAAACTCCCAAAACACAAGGGGCACCTGGGTGGCTCAGTCAGTTGAGCATCTGTCTCTAGGTTTTCGCTCAAGTCATCATCCCAGGGTCATGAATCAAGTCCTATGTCGGGCTCTACCCTGAGTGTCAAGGCTGCTTGGGATTCTCTCTCTCCCTCTGTCTCTAAAACAAAACAAAACAAAACAAAAACAAAACACAAGAAACAGCAAGCGTTGGCAAGGATGTGGAGAAAAGGAACCCTTGTGCACTGTTGATGGGAATGCAAACTGGTACAGCTACTGTGGAAAAGAGTAAGAAGGTTCCTCAAAAAGTTAAAAATAGGGGCGCCTGGGTGCCTCAGTCGGTTAAGCGTCCGACTTCGGCTCAGGTCATGATCTCGCAGTTCGTGGGTTCG